CCTGTCCCCTCCAGGTGCCACCCTCGGGTGCTTTGGCTGCTCCAACCTCCCCCCGCCCGCAGGTAAGAGCCGCCCCTCCCCCACTCGCTGCACCCCGGGGTCCTATGGGGGCCATAGGGACCCCCGGCACCCATAGGGGCCATAGGGACCCCCGGGACCCATAGGGGCCATAGGGACCCCTGGGACCCATAGGGGCCATAGGGACCCCCGGGACGCTATAGGGGCCATAGGGACCCCCGGGACCCATAGGGGCCATAGGGACCCCCAGGATCCTATAGGGGCCATAGGGACCCCCACCACCCATGGGGGCTCTATAGGGACCCCTGGGATCCTATATAGGGGCCCATATAGATCCCTATAGGGGCCATAGGAACCTCAGGGCCTATAAGGGCCATAGGGACCCCCAGCACCTATGGGGGCTCTATAGGGATCCCGGGATCCATAGGGACTCTATAGGGACCCCCGGGATCCTATGGGGGCCATAGGGACCCCAGGGCCTATATAGGGGCCCATATAGATCCCTAGAGGGGCTCTATAGGGACCCCCCTGGACCTATAGGGGCCATAGGGACCCCAGAGCCCATATAGGGGGCCGTATAGATCCCTGTAGCGGCCATAGGGATCCCTATAAGGAACATACAGATCCCTGTAGGGGTCAATATAGAATCCCTATAGGGGCCATAGGGACCCCTGCCACCTATGGGGGCTCTATAGGGCCCTTACAGGTCCCTGTAGGGAACATATAGATCCCTATAGGGGCTCTATAGGAACCTCAGGGTCCTCTAGGGGCGCTTATGGATCCCTCTAGGGGCCATGTGGATCCCTATAGGTGTCTATATAAAATCCCTACAGGGGCCATATAGATGCCTATAGGGACCCCAGGCCCTATAGGGGCCCTTATAGATCCCTATAGGGACCCATATAAAATCCCTATAGGGGCCACATAGGAGCCCATATAGACCCCTGTAGGGGCCATACACACCCCAGGGTCTCTATAGGGGCCCATATAGGGGCCATACAAACCCCTGGGTCTTTCTGGGGCCCATATAGACCCCTATAGGGGCCATACAGATGCCAGGGTCCTATAGGGGCCCATATAGACCCTTAATGGGGCCCATAGGGTCCATATAGACCCCTATAGGGGCTGTACAGACCCCAGGGCCCTATCGGGGTCCACGGTCCCCTCTAGGGGTCCTCAGGCTCTATATGGATCCCCTGGCCCCTATAGGGGTCCCCAGGCCCCTATCAGGGTCCCCAGAACCTATGGATCCTCATGGCCCTATAGGGTCCCCATGCCCCTATAGGGGTCCCCCGGCCCCTATAATGATCCCCAGGCCCTATAGGAATCCCCAGGGCCTATAGGGCCCCCAGGGCCTATCAAGGTCCCCATGCCCTCTATGGATCCCCAGGCCCCTGTAGGGATCCCCAGGCCCCTGTAGGGATCCCCAGACCCCCATATGAATCCCCGGCCCCTATAGGGCCCCCGTGCCCCTATAGGGATCCCCAGACCCCATATGAATCCCCGGCCCCTATAGGGCCCCCGTGCCCCTATAGGGATCCCCAGACCCCATATGAATCCCCGGCCCCTATAGGGCCCCCATGGCCCTATAGGGCTCCCCATGGCCCCAATATGGATCCCCGGCCCCTATAGGACCCCCATGGCCCTATAGGGCTCCCCATGGCCCCCATATGGATCCCCGGCCCCTATAGGGCCCCCACAGGCGCCGCCCGCTCCTCCCCCGGCCGCAGTTTGGGGGCGGTTGCCATGGCAACGCCTCCATCTCGGCGCTATTTTGGGGAGGGGGCGGTGCCGAGGGTGGGGGCGGGGCTAAGGGGGGGGACCCCGCGGCCTCGCCCCTCCCCCCTGGGGAACCCCCCCCGCCCCTCCCCCCCTCCCGCATCCCCCGCCGCGTCCCCATGGCAACCGCCGCCCCCCGCCCGCCGCGTCGCCATGGCAACCGCCATCCACCGGGGGGGCGCTCTGCGCATGCGCAGTGGGACGGGGACACCTCCCCCCCAACTCCCCCTCCCCTCCCTGGGGACCCCCGGCCTTGGGGGGGGTCTGGGGGCTCCTCCCCCCATCGGGGACCCCCCAGTTGATCCCGGGGGGGGGTCCCCAATTATAGGGGGCGCCCCCTCACAATCTGGGCGTGGTTTTTTCTTTTTTGGGGGGGGGACACCCCCCCCCCCCCATTCCATATCACAGGGACCCAGGCGTCCTCCCCTCCCCCCCCGCCCCCCCTCAGGACCCTCCCCCAAATCCCCCCCACCCCAAATCCAGGGGGGGGTCTCGGTGTCCGGGCACGCGCAGAGCGGTGGGGGGGGGGGGGGGCGGGGGGAGGGGGGGGTCTCTGCTCGGCTCCTCCCCCTCCCCCCCTCACCCCCCCCGCCCCGCCCGGCCGGGCCCTGGTTCTGCTGCGGAGGCGCCGGGGGCTCCCCCAGCCCCTCCCCCACCCGGGACCCCTCCCCCCCAATCCCGGGGGTGTCCCCCTCTCCCCCCACCAGTGTGTGCGTGTCCCCCCCTCCCCATTGATTTGGGGGTGCCGCCCCCTCCCCAAAATGTGGTGCCTGCAGTGCACGGCCGAGCGGCGGCGGGGGCCGCTCCGGCAGCGGCTGCTGCACGGGTGAGTCGGGGACCCCCCCGGGACCCCCCCCGAGACCCCTCCGGGACCCCCCCGGTACCTCCGAGACCCCCCCGGGACCCCCCAACCCTTCCCCTCCCCCCCGCCTGCCCGGGACCCCCCCAGAATTTTGGGGATCCCCCCTCCCCCACCCACGCTTTGCTCCGCCCCCTTCCCTCCCCCCCCCCCCCCCAATTCCGGCGCTGGGTCCCCGCGGGGCTGGGGGGGAGGGGAGGCGTCTGTCCGTCTGTCTGTGTGTCTGTGTGTCCGTGTGTCTGTGTGTCCGTCTGTCCGTGTGTCCCCCCCCGCCGTGGCTGTGCGTGCACGTACGTCCCCGTCCGTGTGTCCCCATGTCTGTGTGTCCGTGTGTCCCCCGTGGCCGTGCGTGCACGTACGTCCCTGTCACGTCCCTGTCGCGTGTCCGTGTGTCCTCACGTCTGTGTGTCCCCATGTCCATAGGGCCGATGTCCTCATGTCCATCTGTCCCCATGTCCGTCTGTCCATGTGTCCCCATGGCTGATGTCCCCCTGTCCATGTGTCCTAATGTCCATGTGTCAGTGTGTCCCCGTGTCCCCGTGTCCATCCGTCCTCATGTCTGTGTGTCCCCATGTCTGTGTGTCTGTGTCCATATGGCCGATGTCCCCGTGTCCGTCTGTCCATGTGTCCCCATGTCCATAGGGCCGATGTCCCCGTGTCTGTGTTCCCCATGTCTGTATGTCTGTGTGTCCCAGTGTCTGTGTGTCCCTGTGTCCATAGGGCCCATGTCCGTGTGTCCCCATGTCCGTGTGTCCCCATGTCTGTGTGTCCATGTGTCCCAATGTCCATAGGGCCCATGTCCCCATGTCCCTGTGTCCCCATGGCCATGTGTCCATGTGTCCCTATGTCTGTCTGTCCCTGTGTCCCAATGTCCATTATGTCCATGTGTCCGTGTGTCTCCATGTCCATATGGCCAATGTCCATGTGTCCCTGCATCCATGTGTCCCCATGTCTGTGTGTCCCCGTGTCCGTGTGTCCCCATGTCCATACAGCCAATGTCCCCATGTCCAGACGGCCCCATGTCCCAATGTCCATCTGTCCCCATGTCTGTGTGTCCATGTGTCCCAATGTCCACGTGTCAGTGTGTCCCTGTGTCCCCATGTCCATATGGCCAATGTCCTCATGTCCGTGTTCCCCATGTCCGTGTGTCCGTGTGTCCCAATGTCTACATCGCCAATGTCCCCATGTCCCTGTGCCTCCATGTCCATGTGTCCGTGTGTCCCCATGTCCATATGGCCAATGTCCATGTGTCCCCGCATCCATGTGTCCCCATGTCCCCATGTCCGTGTGTCCCCATGTCCATTTGTCCATGTGTCCGTGTGTCCCCGTGTCCCCATGTCCGTGTGTCCCCATGTCCATTTGTCCATGTGTCTGTGTGTCCCCATGTCCCCTTGTTGATATGGCTGATGTCCCCATGTCCCTGTGTCCCATGTCTGTGTGTCCCCATGTCTGTGTGTCCATGTGACCCCACGTCCATATGGCCGATGTCCCCATGTCCATCTGTCCCAACGTCCATTTGTCCATGTGTCCTTGTGTCCCCATGTCCATATGGCCAATGTCCTCACGCCCATGGTTCCCCAATGTCCATCGGGCCCATGTCCCCATGTCCATCTGTCCTCATGTCCGTGTGTCCATGTGTCCATATGGCCGATGTCCTCATGTCTGTGTGTCTGTGTGTCCATGTGTCAGTGTCCCTGTGTCCCCATGTCCCCGTGTCCACCTGTTCTCAAGTCTGTGTGTCCCCATGTCTGTGTCCTCTTGTCCCTGTGTCCCATGCCATGTCTGTCTGTCTGTCCCCTTGTCCCTGTGTCCCATGTCCATGTGTCTCTGTCCCCATGTCCCCTTGCCCACATGTCTGTCTGTCCCCATGTCCTGTGTGTCTGTGTCCCATGTCCCTGTGTCTGTCTGTCTGTCCCCATGTCCCCATGTCTCTGTGTCTGTCTGTCCCCATATGCCTGTGTCTGTCTGTCTGTCCTCATGTCCCCATGCCCCCACATGTCTGTCTGTCTGTCCCCCTGTCCCTGTGTCCCCCTGGTCCCCACCTTGGCGCCTCCAGACCCTTTGAGGGGTCTCAGGGGGGACCTGTGGAGGTCCCAGGGCAATTTTGGGGGTCCCAGGGAGGTCTGGGGGGTCCCGGGTGCATTTGTGGTGGTTTTGGGGTGGTTGTGGGGTGGTTTTTGGGTGGTTTTGGGTCTTTTTGGGTCTCTTTGTGGTGTTTTGGGGTGTTTTTGGGGTGTTTTTGGGTGTTTTGGGGGTGTTTTTGGGGTGTTTTGGGCTGGTTTTGGGGTGTTTTTGGGCTGTTTTCGGGGTGTCCCCACCTGGCTCTGACGCGCTGTCCCCGCAGCGTGGACGGCGAGGCCCCGGGCAGCGAGGGGGGGGGCGCGGTGCCCGAGAGCCCCGGGCGGCCCCCCCCGTACCGGGCCCTGCCCCAGCCCGCGCCCCAAGGCCCGGGGGGCTCCGGGGGCGGCCCCGGGGGCGGCGCCGGGGGCGTGGCCTGGCCCCGGCTGCCCCCCCAGCCCGCCAGCGTGGCCCTGCGCAAGCAGGAGGAGGAGGAGGAGAGCAAGAGGCCGAAGGCTCTGAGCGACAGCTACGAGCTCTCCACCGACCTGCAGGACAAGAAGGTACCTGCGGACACCTGGGGACACCTGGGGACACCCTTGGGGATACCTAGGGACCCCTGGGGTCACACCTGGGGGCATGCCTGGGACACCCTTGGGACACACCTAGGGACATCTCTGGGGACACCCTTGGGGACACCTGAGGATACACCTGGGGGGACACCTGGGGACACACCTGGGGACACCCTGGGGACACCCTTGGGGACACCTGGGGACATCCCTGGGACACCTTGGGGATACCTGGGGACACCTGGGGACATCCCTGGGACACCCTGGGGATACCTGGGGACACCTGGGGACACCTGGGGACATCCCTGGGACACCCTGGGGATACCTGGGGACACCTGGGGACACACCTGGGGACACTCTGGAGACACTTTGGAGCACACCTGGGGAAACCTGAGGAGACCTGGAGACAGCTGGGAACACCCCTGGGACGCCCTTGGGGACACACCTGGGGGTACCTGGGGACACCCTTGGGGACACTCTTGGGAAACCCTAGGGACACCCCTGGGGACACCTGGAGACACACCTGGGGACACCTGGGGGGACCCCTGGGGACACCCCTGGGGACACCCCTGGGGACACCCCTGGGGTGGGTCCTGGCTGTGTGACGGTCACAGCCCACGTGTGGTGGTCACCAGCCACATGTGACTGTCCCCAGCCTGTGTGGTGGCCACCAGACCCATGTCACGGTCACTGTCCCCATACAACGGTCCCTGTCCCCACACGTGTCCGCACATCCCCATCCACATCGCTACATCTCCATGTCCCCATGTGCCCATCCCTGTCCCCTGTCCCCACATCCCACCCACGTCCCCTGCCATGTCCCCATGTATCCATTGCTGTCCCCATGTCCCCATGGCTGTCCCCACGCCTGTCCCCATGTCCCCATCCTCATCCATGCCCCCACGACCCCATGTCCCTCACCATGTCCTTGTCCTCATCCATGTCCACACATCCCCACCCATGTCCCTGTGTCCCTGTGTCCCCCACCATGTCCCCATGTCCCCATCCATGTCCCCACGCCTGTCCCCATCCTCATCCAAATCCCCACGACCTCACGTCCCTCGCCATGTTCCCTGCCATGTCCCCATGTCTGCATTGCTGTCCCATGTCCCCACATCCCCGCCCATGTCCCAATGTCCCCATGTCCCCACATCCCCACCCGTGTTCCCATGTCCCCATCGCTGTCCCCATGTCCACACATCCCACCCATGTCCCCCACCATGTCCCCATGGCTATCCCCATGCGTGTCCCCATATCCCCATCCTCACCCATGTCCCCACGACCCCACGTCCCTTGCCATGTCCCCATGTCCCCATCCCTGCCTCCATGTCCCCATCCCCATCCATGTCCCCACAGCCCTCGCCATGTCCCCATGTCCCCATCCCTGCCTCCATGTCCCCACGTCCCTCGCCATGTCCCCATGTCCCCATCCATGTCTCCATGTCCCCATCCACATCCCTACGTCCCCATGTCCCTATCCATGTCCCCACATCCCTCACCATGTCTCCATGTCCCCACCCCTGTCTCTATGTCCCCATCCACATCCCTACATCCCCATGTCCCCATGGCTGTCCCCACCCATGTCCTCATGTCCCCATGTCTCCACCCATGTCCCCATCCTCATCCATATCCCCATGTCCCCACATCCCTCGCCATGTCCCCATGTCCCCATTGCTGTTTCTGTGTCCCCACATCCCCACCCATGTCCCCATGTCTCCACTCATGTCCCCATCCTCATCCACATCCCTACATCCCCATGTCCCCACGTCCCCATCCCTGCCTCCATGTCCCCATCCACATCCCTACGTCCCCATGTCCCCATGTCCCCATCCATGTCCCCACATCCCTCGCCATGTCTCCATGTCCCCATCCCTGCCTCCATGTCCCCATCCACATCCCCATGTCCCCATGGCTGTCCCCACCCATGTCCCCATGTCTCCACCCATGTCCCCATCCTCATCCACATCCCCATGTCCCCGTGTCCCCATGTCCCACCATGTCCCCATGGCTGTCCCCACCCATCCCACGTCCCCACGTCCCCACATCCCCACCACGTCCCCACGCGTGTCCCCCCAGGTGGAGATGCTGGAGCGCAAGTACGGCGGCTATTTCCGCTCGCGGCGGGCGGCGCGCACCATCCAGGCGGCGTTCCGGCGCTACCGCATGGCGCAGAAGTTCGAGCGGCTGCGCAGCGAGGGCGGCCGGGCGCGGCGCCTGGCGCTGCCGGGGCTGCGCCTGCAGTTCTCCTTCGAGGAGTACGACCGCGGCCCCCCGGCCCCCGCCCCGGGGCCGCCCCCGCCGCCCCCGCCCTACTTCCAGGGCAAGCCGGCCTCGCTGGACGAGGGCGTCCTGGGGGGCCCGCGCCGCGCCCCCCGATACGGGGGGTCCTGCCGGGCCGGCCTGGACGGGGGCGGGGGTCCCGGAGAGGGGGTCCAGGTTGGGGGGGGCTCCGGGGTGGGGGGCGCGGGAAGCCCCCCCCGGCAGCTCTCGGCTTCGGCCGATTTCGGGCCAGGAGGCGCCGACCTGGAGGAGGCGTTTGCGCAGCAGGTGGGGGTCTGGGGGGGTTGTGGGGTCAGGGGGGTTATGGAGTCAGGGGGGGGTCACAGGGTCATGGGAGTTAAGGGGGTCCTGGTGGTTATGGGGGTCCTGGGGGTTATGGGGTCAAAGGGGTCATGGGGGTTATGGGGTCAGGGGGGTCATGGGGGTTGTGGGGTCAGGGGGGTTATGGGGGTTGTGGGGTCAGGGGGGTTATGGGGGTCATGGGGGTTATGGGGTCAAAGGGGTCATGGAGGTTATGGGGGTTATGGGGTCAGGGGGGTCATGGGGGTTGTGGGGTCAGGGGGATCACAGGGTTATGGAGGTCCTGGGGGTCCTGAGGGTTATGGGGTCAAAGGGGTCATGGCAATGAGGATTAAAGGGTCATAGGGGGTTATGGGGTCATGGGGGTCACAGGGTCACGAGGGTCACGAGGGTCCTGGGAGGTCACTGGGGTCACAGGGGTCACAAGACCATGGACATTACAGCGGCCATTGGGGTCAGGTGACAAAAAAACCCATGGGGGTCATGGGGGGTCAGAGGGGACTTTGGGGGGGGTCACAGGGATTTGGGGGTTTTGGGGAGGTCATGGGGGTCGCAGGGGCCAATATGGGGGTCCGGAGTCTCTGGGGGTCTCACGGTGGGCTCCTGTCCCCATAGGTGAAGTCCTTGGCCGCCTCCATCGATGAGGCGCTGGGGGGGGGGTCGCGGTGTCCCCCCCGGCGCCCCGGACCCCCCCGCGGGCGACAGCGCGGCCACCTCGGCCAGTGACGTCACGCTGTACCTGGACGAGGGGCTCCCCGGCTCCCCCCGCTCCCCGGAGCGACCCCCCAGCCCCGAGCCCCCCCCGGACACGGCGGGCCCCCCGCCCCCGCCCGCGCCGCCGCCCCCGCCGCCGCCCCCCGCCAACGCCCCCGGCCCCGCCGAGCGCTGGGGGGGCCCCCCCGAGGAGCCCCCCCGGAGGGGCCCCCCGTGCCTGGAGTGCCGCGGCCGGGGGGCCGGGGGCGGGCACCCCCCGCTGCTGACCGTGGAGCCCCCCAGCGACAGCTCGGCCGACCTGAGCGACCGCTCGGACCGCGGCTCCATCAACCGCGGCGGCCCCTACGAGCCCGAGGGCACCGGCGGCGGCGGCGGCGGCGGCGGCGGCACCCTGCCCCGCTCCGGGCCCCCTCCCCACCGCTGCTTCCACCCCGAGGGGCCGCCCCCGCCGCCGCCCGGGCCCCCGCCCCCGCCCGCGGCCGAGGAGGGCTCCGAGGGCGACAACGAGAGCCTGGGCAGCAGCTCCAACTCCAACGAGACCCTCAACTGCTCCTCGGGCTCCTCGTCCCGCGACAGCCTGCGCCGGCCGCCCCCGCCGCCCCCGCCGCCGCCCACGGCGCCGCCGCAGCCCCCCGGTGCCGCCGGCGCCCCCGGCAAGGCCACGTACCAGCGGGAGCCGCGGCAGAGCTGGGACTCGCCCGCGCTCAACAACGACGTGGTGCAGCGGCGCCAGTACCGCATCGGCCTCAACCTCTTCAACAAGTGAGGGGCCGGGGGTCCTGGGGGGGCTGGGGGGCTTTGGGGGGGCTGTGCTGGACGTGGGGTGGGGTCTGGGGGTCCGGCGGTGGGGGCATGCGGTGCTGCCACGGTCAGCAGGGGAAGGGTGGGGTGGGGTTGTTGGTGACGCCATGGTGAGGGCAGGGGGATGTTCTAGGTGAGCCTATGGTGACAATGGGGGGATGTTTGAGGCGACCCTGTAGAACCCCACAATGACGTTCTAGGTGACCCTACAGTGATGTTCTCGGTGAGCCTATAGCGAGGGCAGGGAGATGTTTGAGCTGACCCTGGAGAACCCCACAATGATGTTTTAGGTGACCCTATGGTGAGGTTCTAAGTGACCCTATAGCGAGGACAGGGGGATGTGTGAGGTGACCCTTTAGAACCCCACAATGACGTTCTAGGTGACTCTATGGTGATGTTCTAGGTGAGCCTGTAGCAAGGGCAGGGTGATGTTCTAGGTGAGCCTATAGTGAGGACAAGGTGATGTTCCAGGTGGCCCTATCGTGAGGGCAGGGGGATGTTCTAGGTGAGCCTATAGTGAGGATGGAGGGATGTTCCAGGCGGCCCTACAGAAAAGGCAGGGGGATGTTCTAGGTGACCCTGTGGTGAAGTTCTAGGTGACCCTATAGCAAAGAGAGGGAGATGTTTGAGGTGGCCCTGTAGAACCCCACAATGACGTTCTAGGTGACCCTACAGTGATGTTCTCGGTGAGCCTATAGCGAGGGCAGGGAGATGTTTGAGCTGACCCTGGAGAACCCCACAATGATGTTTTAGGTGACCCTATGGTGAGGTTCTAAGTGAGCCTATAGTGAGGATGGGGTGAAGTTCTAAGTGACCCTATAGCGAGGACAGGGGGATGTGTGAGGTGACCCTTTAGAACCCCACAATGACGTTCTAGGTGACTCTATGGTGATGTTCTAGGTGAGCCTGTAGCAAGGGCAGGGTGATGTTCTAGGTGACCCTATAGTGAGGACAAGGTGATGTTCCAGGTGGCCCTATCGTGAGGGCAGGGGGATGTTCTAGGTGAGCCTATAGTGAGGATGGAGGGATGTTCCAGGCAGCCCTACAGAAAAGGCAGGGGGATGTTCTAGGTGACCCTGTGGTGAAGTTCTAGGTGACCCTATAGCAAAGAGAGGGAGATGTTTGAGGTGGCCCTATAGAACCCCACAATGACGTTCTAGGTGACCCTATGGTGAGGTTCTAAGTGAGCCTATAGCAAGGGCAGGGTGATGTTCCAGGTGACCCCAGAGAATCCACAATGACGTTCTAGGTGACCCTATAGAAAGGGCATGGAATGTTCTAGGTGACCCTGTGGTGATGTTCTAGGTACATCTACAGTGCTGTTCTGGGTAACTCTAGGGTGAAGTAGGTGACCAGGTGGCCCTAGAACTGGGGGCAGGTGATGTTCTAGGTCACTCTACAGCCAGAGTGACCACCACGGCTGACCACCATGGCTGACCACCATGGCTGACCACCAATACTGACCACCATGGCTGACCACCATGGCTGACCACCATGACTGACCACATGGCTGACCACCATGACTGACCACCAATACTGACCACCATGGCTGACCACATGGCTGACCACCATGACTGACCACATGGCTGACCACCATGACTGACCACCAATACTGACCACCATGGCTGACCACATGGCTGACCACCATGACTGATCACATGGCTGACCACCATGGCTGACCACCATGACTGACCACCAATACTGACCACCATGGCTGACCACCATGACTGACCACATGGCTGACCACCATGGCTGACCACCATGACTGACCACCAATACTGACCACCATGGCTGACCACCATGGCTGACCACCACAACTGACCACATGGCTGACCACCATGACTGACCACTATGACTGACCACGTGGCTGACCACCGTGGCTGACCACCAATACTGACCACCAATACTGACCACCATGGCTGACCACATGGCTGAGCACCAATACTGACCACCATGGCTGACCACCACGGCTGACCACCATGGCTGACCATGATGACTGACCACACGGCTGACCACCATGGCTGACCACCAATACTGACCACCATGGCTGACCACCAATATTGACCACCATGGCTCACCACCATGGCTGACCACCACAACTGACCACCATGGCTGACCACCATGACTGACTGCCGTGGCTGACCACCATGGCTGACCATGATAACTGACCACACAGCTGACCACCATGGCTGACCACCATGGCTGACCACACAGCTGACCACCATGGCTGACCACCATGGCTGACCACCATGGCTGAGCACCAAGGATGACCGCCATGGTTGAGCACCATGGTTGAGCCCCATGGCTGACCACCATGGATGACCACCATGGATGACCACCACGGCTGACCACCATGGCTGACCACCATGGCCACGCCCCCGCAGGAAGCCGGAGAAGGGGATCCAGTACCTGATCGAGAGGGGGTTCCTGTCGGACACGCCCGTGGGCGTGGCCCACTTCATCCTGGAGCGGAAGGGCCTGAGCCGGCAGATGATCGGCGAGTTCCTGGGCAACCGCCAGAAACAGTTCAACCGCGACGTGCTCGAGTACGGGGGGACACACCGGGGATGGGGGGACATGCTGGGGACAGAGGGGACACACCAGGGACGGGGGGACACGGTGGGGACAGGGGGGAAATGTGAGGGATGGGGGGACATGGCAGGGACGAGGGGGACACAGTGGGGACAGGGGGACACGGTGGGGATGGAGGGACACCTTGGGGACAGAGGGGACACCTTGGAGATGGGGGGGACACGGTGGGGACAGGGGGGACACACCGGGGATGGAGGGGACACGGTGAGGACAGAGGGGACACCTTGGAGATGGGGGGGACACACCGGGGATGGAGGGGACACCTTGGGGACAGAGGGGACACCTTGGAGATGGGGGGGACACGGTGGGGACAGGGGGGACACACCGGGGATGGAGGGGACACGGTGAGGACAGAGGGGACACCTTGGAGAAGGGGGGGACACGGTGGGGACAGGGGGGACACACCGGGGATGGAGAGGACACGGTGAGGACAGAGGGGACACCTTGGAGATGGGGGGGACACACCGGGGCTGGAGGGGACACGGTGGGGCTTGGGGAACATGGTGGGGATGGAGGAGACACCTTGGGGATGGAGGGGACACGCCAGGGATGGGGGGGACATGCTGGGGGTGGGACGGACACACCAGGGACAGAGGGGACATGGTGGGGACGAGGGGGACACAGTGGGAACAGGGGGGACACGCCCGGGCTGAGGGGGACACGCTGGGGCTGGGGGGGACATGCCGGGGATGGGGGGACACATTGGGGACATCGGGGACACGCTGGGGACGGAGGGGACAGGGTGGGGGCAGAGGGGACATGCCAGGGACGTGGGGGACACGGTGGAGCTGGGGGCGACACGGTGGGGATGGGGCGGACACGCTGGGGAGGGGGGGGACACCTTGGGGCTGGGGGGGACGCGCCAGGGACAGGGAGGACACACTGGGGCTGGGGGGGACATGGTGAGGACAGGGGGGACACGGTGGGGATGGGGGGGACACGCTGGGGACAGAGGGGACACGCCAGGCTTGGGGGGACACGCTGGGCATGGAGGGGACACACTGAGGATGGGGGGACACACCAGGGCTGAGGGGGAGACGCTGGGGCTGGGGGGGACATGGTGGGGATGGGGGGACACACTGAGGTCAGAGGAGACACAATGAGGGCAGAGGGGACACACCGGGGACAGAGGGGACACCCTGGGGACAGCGGCAGCCCCCAGACCCATCCCCGCCGCGGGGTCCCGGCAGCTGCGTGGTGGACGAGATGGATTTCTCCGGGATGGAGCTGGACGAGGCCCTGCGGAAGTTCCAGTCCCACATCCGGGTGCAGGGCGAGGCGCAGAAGGTCGAGCGCTTGATCGAGGCCTTCAGGTGAGGGGTGGGTCCCTGTCCCCCCGTCCCTGTGTCCCTATCATGTCCCCCTGTCCCCGTCATGTCCCCCTGTCCCCATGTCCCCGTGTCCCTGTGTCCCCATGATGTCCCCATATCCCGATGTCCCCATGTCCCTGTGTCCCCATGTCCCTGTATCACCATGTCCCCATGTCCCCATGATGTCCCCATGTCCCCATGATGTCCCCATGTCCCCTGTCCCCATGTCCCCTGTCCCTGTGTCCCCATGTCCCCATGCATGTCCCTGTGTCCCCATGTCCCTGTATCACCATGTCCCCATGTCCCCATGATGTCCCCGTGTCCCTGTGTCCCCATGATGTCCCCATGATGTCCCCATGATGTCCTGGTGTCCCCGTGTCCCCATGTCCCTGTGTCCCCACGTCCCCCTGTCCCCGTGTCCCCATGTCCCTGTGTCCCATGTCCCCCTGTCCCCATGTCCCCGTGTCTCCATGTCCCCATGATGTCCTCATGTCCCCATGTCCCTGTGTCCCCATGTCCCCCTGTCCCCATGTCCCCACTGCATTGACCCTGCCACCAGCAGCACACAGTGGTCACCATGGGGTGACATTCTAGGTGACTATGGATTGAGGGGGGACACAAGGGGGTGGTGGCACCTGAGGGACATGGGGCCATTCTAGGTGACCCTGTGGATCAAGGAGGAGCCACGGGGGTGGTGGCCCATGTTCTAGGTGACCCTATGTGCTATGGGGGGGCACAAGGGGGTGGTAGCAACAGGGGCTGTTCTAGGTGACCCTACAGACTGACAGGACACTGGGTGGTGGCCCCTGGACCACAGGATGACATTGTAGGTGACCCTGTGGATCAAGGAGGAGCCACGGGGGTGGTGGCTCCTGTTCTAGGTGATCCTGTGGATCAAGGAGGAGCAATGGGGGTGGTGGCCCACGTTCTAGGTGACCCTGTGGGTTAAGGGGGGACACAAGCGGTGGTGGCCCACGTTCTAGGTGACCCTGTGGGTTAAGGGGGGACACAAGCGGTGGTGGCCCACGTTCTAGGTGACCCTGTGGGTTAAGGGGGGACACAAGCGGTGGTGGCCCACGTTCTAGGTGACCCTGCAGCCATGGGGGCGCCTCCCCACGCGCAGGGGCGGCCGTGGGGTGCAGAGGCCGTGGGGCACCGTGACCCCATGGGCCGTGGGGGTTGTCCGCCCCGCAGCCAGCGCTACTGCGTGTGTAACGCGGCCCTGCTGCGCCAGTTCCGCAACCCGGACACCATCTTCATCCTGGCCTTCGCCATCATCCTCCTCAACACCGACATGTACAGCCCCAGCGTCAAGGCCGAGCGCAAGATGAAGCTCGAGGACTTCATCAAGAACCTGCGAGGTGAGGCCCTCACGGCCCCTGACACCTCCTGGTGTTCTCCTGCCTGGGGACATGGGTTCTAGAGCAGGGCTGGGTGTGGTGGGTTCTAGAGCAGGGTTGGTGTGGTGGGTTCTACAGCAGGGTTGGTGTGGTGGGTTCTAGAGCAGGGCTGGGTGTGGTGGGTTCTAGAGCAGGGTTGGTGTGGTGGGTTCTACAGCAGGGTTGGTGTGGTGGGTTCTAGAGCAGGGCTGGGTGTGGTGGGTTCTAGAGCAGGGTTGGTGTGGTGGGTTCTAGAGCAGGGCTGGGTGTGGTGGGTTCTACAGCAGGGCTGGGTGTTGGATGCTCTAGAGCTGTCCCGGGAGTTGTAGGTTCTGGAACAGGATCAGGTGTTACAGCTTCTAGGGTGGACCTGGGTGTTGTGGGTTCTAGATTGGAAATGGAAATTTGGGGAGAAATGGGGAATAAATTGGGGGGAAATAATCGGACTTTGGGGGTGGGGAGGGGGCACAGCTCGGCCTCCTTGCGCTTGGCCTTCATCTGCTCCTGGAATAAAGGAAAAACACGGGAATTTGGTGAAAATGGGACAGAAAATGGAAAATTCAGGGTCCCTTTTGGGGTCAGGTTTGGTTTTTAGGCTCAGTTTTGGGTTTTAGGCTCAGAGTGGGCCCGGGTTCTTGGGGGGGGGGGGCCCAGGATGACACTGGTGCAAGAGTGGTGCAACACCCTCAACCCGGGTGTGGAGGGTTCTAGAATGGGGGCAGATGTCGCAGGTTCTAGAGTGGGTTCAGGTGTTGCAGGTTCTGGAGTAGGTCATGATGTCAAGGGTTCTAGTGCACATCTGGGTGTTGGGGCTTCTAGAAGGGGTCTGGGTGTCTTAGGTCCTGGAGTCAAACTGGGCGTTGCAGGTTCTAGAGCATGTCCAGATGTTGTTGGGTTCTAGAGACACCCGTTAGTAGTGAGCTCTGGATCTGCAGTTGGGGGTTCTAGAGCTGTTGCAGGTTCTTGGGGCTTGGAGGTGTTGTGGGTTCTGGAGCGGTTCCAGAGCAGGTCCGGGTGTCACGCAGGGGTGGACAATGGCGAGGACATCCCCCGGGACATGCTGGTGGGCATCTACCAGCGCATCCAGAGCCGCGAGCTGCGCACCAACGACGACCACGTGTCCCAGGTGCAGGCTGTGGAGCGCATGATCGTCGGCAAGAAACCGGTGGGTGTGCCCGGGGGGCGGGGCCAGGTCACCCACAGGGGGCGGGGCCGGGTGACCCCATGGGGAGTGGCCCAGGTGACCCCATGGGACAGGTTCTTCTAGACCACCCAAAGGAGATGTTCCAGGTGATGCTGTGGTGGGGAGGATGTTCTAGGCCACCCATGGGTGATGGTCCAACGTTCCAGGAGATCCTGAGGGAAGGATGGGGCAGGTGGGCCCATGGGACAGGTTCTAGTGGCCCAAGGGACACATTCCAGGTGACCTATGGGGGATGATCCAGGTGACCAATGGGGGATATCGTATGGGACCCAACTGGGACGTTTGGGGTCACTCTTGAAGTGACCCATGTGGGACATTTGAGGTCAATTTTTAAGTGACCCACATGGGACATTTGGTGCGACCTCTGGGGGACACTCAAAGTGACCCAGGTGGGACATTTGGGGTGACTCTTGAAGTGACCTATATGACATTTGGAGTGACCCTTGAAGGACCCATGTGGGACATTTGGGGTGACCTGGGGAGAACACTCAAAGTGACCCATGTGGGACATTTGGGGTCATTTCTGGGGGACACTCAGAGTGACCCACATGGGACATTTGGGGTCATTTCTGGGGGACACTCAGAGTGACCCATGTGGGACATTTGGGGTCATTTCTGGGGGACACTCAGAGTGACCCACATGGGACATTTGGGGTCACTCTTGAAGTGACCCATTAAGTGACCCACATGTGACATTGAGGGTGACCCAATGATGCCACGCTCCGTGTGACCCCAGTGAAGGTCCAGGGCCACCATCCCCACCCCAGGGCAGCTCCGGGGTGTCCGTGGGGCCGTGTCCCCCTGTCCCAGCTGTGACCCCCCCCCCACGGCTGTCCCCAGGTGCTGTCCCTGCCCCACCGCCGCCTCGTCTGCTGCTGCCAACTCTACGAGGTGCCCGACCCCAACCGGCCCCAGCGCCTGGGGCTGCACCAGCGCGAGGTTTTCCTCTTCAACGACCTCCTGGTGGTGAGCGGGGGGTCCCGGGGGGTCTCGGGGTGGGGGGCTCAGGGGAGGGGTCCCTGGTGACCCCCTGGCCTCGGCAGGTGACGAAGATCTTCCAGAAGAAGAAGATCCTGGTGACCTACAGCTTCCGGCAGAGCTTCCCGCTGGTGGAGATGCACATGCAGCTCTTCCAGAACGCCTGTGAGACCCAGGGCGCCCCGGGGGACCCCAAAGCACCCCATAACACCCCAAAAAACCCTACAGCACCCTGCAGCACCCCATGGGACCCTACAGCATCCCAAAAAACCCTACAGAACCCCACGGAACCCTAGAACACCCCATGGGACCCCACAGGACCTTCTGAGACCTTCTGCTGTGCCCTGCCCCCTCCCTGTCCCCCCAAATTCCCAGTTTGGGATCAAGCTGGGTGTCCCTGTCCCTATGGGGGTGTCCCTGTCTCCAAGGGGGTGTCCCTGACCCCATTCCCCCCCCCAGATTACCGATTTGGGATCAAGTGACACTGTGGGGGTGCCCCTGACATTCTGGGGGTGTCCCTGACCCCATTGTCCCCCCGGATTACCAGTTTGGGATCAAGCTGTGTTTGGTGACACTGTGGGGGTGTCTGTGACATTCTGGGGGTGTCCCTGACCCCCGTGCCCCCCCCAGATTACCAGTTTGGGATCAAGCTGGGTGTGCCTTTGGGGATGTCCCCATGGGGGTGTTCCTGTCCCCATAGGGCTGTCCCTGTCCCTTTTGGGGTGTCCCTGACCCCCGTGCCCCCCCCCAGATTACCAGTTTGGGATCGAGCTGTGTTTGGTGACACTGTGGGGGTGTCCCTGACATTCTGGGGGTGTCCCTGACCCCCGTGCCCCCCCAGATTACCAGTTTGGGATCAAGCTGGGGTTGGTGACACTGTGGGGGTGTCCCTGACATTCTGGGGGTGTCCCTGACCCCCGTGCCCCCCCAGATTACCAGTTTGGGATCAAGCTGGGGTTGGTGACACTGTGGGGGTGTCCCTGACATTCTGGGGGTGTTCCTGACCCCCGTGCCCCCCCCAGATTACCAGTTTGGGATCAAGCTGGGGTTGGTGACACTGTGGGGGTGTCTGTGACATTCTGGGGGTGTCCCTGACCCCCGTGCCCCCCCAGATTACCAGTTTGGGATCAAGCTGGGGTTGGTGACACTGTGGGGGTGTCCCTGACATTCTGGGGGTGTCCCTGACCCCCGTGCCCCCCCAGATTACCAGTTTGGGATCAAGCTGGGGTTGGTGACACTGTGGGGGTGTCTGTGACATTCTGGGGGTGTCCCTGACCCCCGTGCCCCCCCAGATTACCAGTTTGGGATCGAGCTGGGGTTGGTGACACTGTGGGGGTGTCCCTGACATTCTGGGGGTGTCCCTGACCCCCGTGCCCCCCCAGATTACCAGTTTGGGATCAAGCTGGGGTTGGTGACACTGTGGGGGTGTCTGTGACATTCTGGGGGTGTCCCTGACCCCGTGCTCCCCCCAGATTACCAGTTTGGGATCAAGCTGGGGTTGGTGACACTGTGGGGGTGTCCCTGACATTCTGGGGGTGTCCCTGACCCCCGTGCCCCCCCCAGATTACCAGTTTGGGATCGAGCTGGGGTTGGTGACACTGTGGGGGTGTCCCTGACATTCTGGGGGTGTCCCTGACCCCCGTGCCCCCCCCAGATTACCAGTTTGGGATCAAGCTGCTGTCGGCGGCGCCGGGCGGCGAGCGCAAGGTGCTGATCGTGTTCAACGCCCCGAGCCCCCAGGACCGGCTGCGCTTCGCCAGCGACCTCCGAGAGTCCGTGGCCGAGGTGCAGGAGATGGAGAAGTACCGGGTGGAGGGTGAGCGCTGCTGGGGCACTGGGAGCACTGGGAGGGCACTGGGGGCAATGGGACGGACGCTGGGGGCAATGGGAGGGACACTGGGAGCACCAAAATGGGCACTGGGAGCACTGGGAGTGCTGGGAGGGGCACTGGGAACATAAAAATGGGCACTGGGAGAGCTGGGAGGGCACTGGGATTGCACTGGGAGCAATGGGAGCACTGGGAAGGGCACTGGGAGCACTGGGACCAACTGGGGGCACTGGGAGGGACACTGGGGGCACTGGGAGGGACCCTGGGAGCACTGGGAGCAACTGGGAGCACTGGGAGGGGGACTGGGAGTGCTGGGAGCACTCGAAGCATCAAAATGGGCACTGGGAGCACTGGGGGCACTGGGAGCACTGAGAAGGGTACTGGGAGCACTGAGAGTGCTGGGAGGGGCACTGGGAGCACTGGGAAGGGTACTGGGAGTGCTGGGAACATCAAAATGGGCACTGGGAGCACTGGGAGGGACACTGGGGGTCACTGGTGTGACTGGGTGGTTACTGGGGGGTCACTGGTGGTCACTGGTGTTACTGGTGTCCCCCCCCCAGCGGAGCTGGAGAAGCAGAAGGGCGTGGCGGGGCCGCGGGGCATTGGGATCATTGGGGATCACTGGGTGTAACTGGGTGTTACTGGGGGGTCACTGGTGGTCACTGGTGTAACTGGGTAGTTACTGGGGTGTTACTGGGGGGTCACTGGTGGTCACTGGTGGTCACTGGAGGTCACTGGTGTTACTGGGTAGTTACTGGGGTGTTACTGGGGGGTCACTGGTGGTCACTGGTGGTCACTGGAGGTCACTGGTGTTACTGGGTAGTTACTGGGGTGTTACTGGGAGGTCACTGGTGGTCACTGGTGGTCACTGGCGTTACTGGTGTCCCCCAGCGGAGCTGGAGAAGCAGAAGGGCGTGGCGGGGCCGCGGGGCATTGGGATCATTGGGGATCACTGGGTGTAACTGGGTGTTACTGGGGGGTCACTGGGTGTTACTGGTGGTCACTGGAGGTCACTGGTGTTACTGGGTAGTTACTGGGGTGTTACTGGGGGGTCACTGGTGGGTCACTGGTGGTCACTGGTGTTACTGGTGTCCCCCCCCCAGCGGAGCTGGAGAAGCAGAAGGGCGTGGCGGGGCCGCGGGGCATTGGGATCATTGGGGATCACTGGGTGTAACTGGGTGTTACTGGGGGGTCACTGGTGGTCACTGGTGTTACTGGTGTCCCCCCCCCAGCGGAGCTGGAGAAGCAGAAGGGCGTGGCGGGGCCGCGGGGCGCGGGGCCCCCCCGCGAGGCGCTGAACGGGCTCAGCCGCAGCTCCCTGGAGGAGGCGTTCGGGGCCGAGGGGCTCAAGCGGAGCGCGCTGAGCAGCTCCCTGCGGGACCTGTCCGACAGCGGTGAGACTGGGAGCACTGGGACGGACTGGGGGCACTGGGGACTGGGGGGACTGGGAGAGGCGTTGGGAGGGACTGGGAGCACTGGGAGACACTGGGAGTGGGGTTGGGAGGGACTGGGTGGGACTGGGAGTGGCTGGGGGGGGGGGACTGGGAGGGGGATTGAGAGGGATTGGTAGGAACTGGGAGGGGCTGGGGGGGGGGACTGGGAGGGGGATTGAGAGGGATTGGGAGCGACTGGGAGCCACTGGCAGGGGATTGAGAGGGGCTGGGGGCACTGGGTGGGGGATTGGTAGGAACTGGGAGGGACTGGGGGGCACTGGGAGGCACTGGGAGGGGGATTGGGAGAGACTGGGAGGGCACTGGGGGTCACTGGGAGGGGCTGGGAGGGACTGGGGGGCACTGGGAGGGACTGGGAGGGACTGGGGGGCACTGGGAGGGGGATTGAGAGGGATTGGGAGCGACTGGGAGGGACTGCAAGGGATTGAGGAGGACTGGGAGAGAGATTGGGAGGGATTGGGAGCCACTGGGAGCCACTGGGAGGAGGATTGAGAGGGGCTGGGGGGCACTGGGAGGGGCTGGGAGGGACTGGGAGGCTCTGGAGGGAGTGGGAGAGGGATTGGGAGAAAGTGGGGGGCACTGAGAGGGGTTGGGAGCCACTGGGAGCAACTGGTAGGGACTGGGGGGGACTGGGACAGGGATTGAGTGGGGCTGGGAGGGACTGGGAGCCACTGGGAGGGGGATTGAGAGGGATTGGGTGAGACTGGGAGGGACTGGGAGGGGGATTGAGAGGGGGGATTGGGAAGAACTGGGGGGCTGAGATGGACTGGGGGGCACTGGGGGTCACGGGGAGGGACTGGGAGGGAGTTTGGGGTCTCCATGAGGGGGTTTTGGGGGTCACTTGGAGGTTTGGGGTGTCCAGGGGAACATTTGAGGTGTCCATGGGGAGTTTTGGGATACTCTGGAGAGGTTTTGGGGTCCCCTGTGGAGTTTAGGGTCCTCTGGGAGGGTTTGGGGTGTCCTGGGGTGTGGCTTTGGTGTCCCTTGGTGGGGCTTTGGGGAATTTGGGGTGTCCTGAGAGGGGACATTTGGGGTGTCCGGGGGGGTTTGGGGTTTCTGGGACAGTTTGAGATTCCTGTGGGGTCTCCAGTGGGATTTCAGGTATCCTGGGGGGATTTGGGATGTCCTGAGAGATTTGGGGTGCCCTGGGGGGGAGGGATTTGGGGTCTCCAGAGGGATTTGGGTTGCCCTGGGAGCGATTTGGGGTTTCTGGGACAGTTTGGGGTTCCTGTGGGGTGTCCTGAGGGATTTGGGGTGCCCTGAAGTGTTTGGGGTGTCTGAGGGGATTTGGGGTGTCTGGGGGGGATTTGGGGTGTCCTGGGGGGGGGATTTGGGGTTCCCTGGGGGCATTTGGGGTCTCCTGAAGGATTTGGGGTGCCCTGGGGGATTTGGGGATCCTGAGGGATTTGGGGTACCCTGGGGGTCTCCCCTCACTGTCCCCCCCCCCCCCCCCAGGCAAGCGGGGCCGGCGGAACAGCGTGGGGTCCCTGGACAGCACCATCGAGGTGAGGGGACAGTGCCACCCCCTGAGTGCCACCCCCTGAGTGCCACCCCCTGAGTGCCACACCCTGAGTGTCACACCCTGAGTGTCACCCCCCCTGAGTGTCACAGCCCTCATGTTGCACGCCGAGTGCCCCCCCAAAAATGTCACATCCTCTGTCACACTCCCTGCGTGCCACTCTGTCACACTCCTGAGCGCCACCCCAACTGTCACACCCCTGTCACATCCCTGAGTGCCACGCCCTGATTGTCACACACCCTGTGTTACAGCCCTAATGTCACACCCTGAGTGTCATCCCCTGAGTGTCACACCCCTGAATGTCACCCCTGAGAGCCACACCCTGATTGTCACACCCCTATCACATCCCTGAATGCCACAACCCCTGAATGTCACCTCTGAGAGCCACACCCTGATTGTCACACCCCTGAATGTCACCCCTGAATGCCACAACCCCTGAATGTCACCCCTGTCACATCCCTGAGTGCCACCCCCTGACTGTGACACCCCAAATGTCGCACCCTGAGTGCCACACCCCTGAATGTCACACCCCTGTCACACCATTAATGCCACACCCCTGAGTGCCACACCCCTGACTGTGACTCCCCTGTGTGCCACGCCCCTAAGTGCCACCCCTCAATGTCACATCCCTGTCACACTCCTGAGTGCCACTCCCTGAGTGCCACACCCCTGCAAGCCACACCCCTGAGTGCCACTCCCTGAGTGCCACACCCACTGCGCTGCCCCCGGAGTGTCACCCCAAATGTCACACCCTGAATGTCACCCCCTGAATGCCACACCCCAATGCCACACCCAAACCCCGCCCACTTTAGCCCCGCCCCCAGGCAGGCATGCCATCCTTCATATGAAAAAGGGGCGGGGCCTATGCACGCTCTGGGGGGTGGGGCCAACAGCTGATGTCTGCCCTCATCCACCAATGGGAGCCCACTTGTGCCTCGGGGGTGGAGCTAGAGGTTGGGAGGCGTGGCTTGCACATGGAATGGGCGGGGCCTGAGTGGATGGGGTGGGGCCAACAACTGATGGCTGCTCTTATCCACCAATGGGAGCTCGCTTTTGCCTCGGGGGCGGGGCTATCACTGGGAGGCGTGGCTTGCACACAGAATGGGCGGGGCTGAGTCAACCAATGGGAGGCACCAAAACCCGCGAGGGGCGTGGCTTCCCGGTGCTGACCCCGCCCCCTTTCAGGGCTCCATCATCAGCAGCCCCCGGCCGCAGGCGCGGGGGGGCCCGGGCGGGCCGGGGGGCGCTCCCGAGGGGGGGGGCGGCTACAAGCCCCCGGCCCGCCCGGTCTCCAACTCCTCGTCCTTCCTGGGCTCGCTCTTCGGCAGCCGCCGCGGGAAAGGCCCGGCCGGGCCCCCCCCCGGCGCGGGGGGTCCCGCTTCGGCCTCGGCCTCCTCCTCCTCGGCGTCCTCGTCGCACCACCACCACCACCCGCCGCCCGCCGCGCCCCCCGAGGGCCCCTCCAAGCTGCAGGCGCTGCACGCCCAGTACTGCCACGGGCCCGGGGGGGGCTCGGCGGGCGCGGGGGGCGGCCCGGGCCCTCCGCCGCCCCCCCCGTACCCGCAGCAGCCGCCGCCGCCCAGCCGCCCCGCGCCCCCCCCTCCGCTGCCGGCCATCGCCGCCGGGGCCCCCCCCGCGCTTCCACGGCGGGCCCACCCCTCCGCTGTCGGCGCCCCCGCAGCAGCACGGCCCCCCCGGCGGCGGCTTCCCGCCCCCGCACCCGCACTACACGCTGCACCGGCCCGGCAAGAGGGGGGGGGCTCCCCCCGGCGCCCCCCGGCAGCCGCTGTCGCCGCTGCCCCTGTACAGCCCCGCGCCCGCGCACCACGGGCTGTCCCACGCGTACCCCCCCGGGCCCCCCCCGCACCACCACCCGCCGCCGCCCCCCGCCCCCGCCAAGCACTTCGTGTTCGGGGGGGGCGGCGGCGTCGGGGGGGGCCCGGCCGGGGGGGCTCTGCGGGGAGGGGGCGGCGGCGGGGGAGGGGCGGCGCCCCCCGTTGCCCATCACCACCATCACCACCATCACCACCACCCCCACGCGCCCCCCCACTCGCCCATCCCCCCCCACCCTTCCTACCCCCCCCTGCCCCCCCCATCGCCCCACACCCCCCTGAGCCCCCACTCGCCCGCCGGCCCCACCTCGCCCCTGGCCCAGGCCGGCCAGGGCCCCCCCAAACCCAAGGGGGGGAACCGCATCAGCACGGTGGTCTGAGCCCCCTCCCCACGCCCCCATCCCGGACGGCGCCGGCCTGCTGGACGCGGTGGTTATTTTTGTAACCCCCCCCCCCCCCATCCTCCATGTCCCCCCCAAAAACCCCCCCAAAAAACAAAACCTGCACGTGGCTCGTGTTTGGCTGCTCCCGCCACCCCCCACCCACCGGGAGCGAGGAAATGGGGGGGGTCTCTGCCCACCCCCCCCCCCCCCCCAAACCATCCCGGGGGTCCGGCGGTGATGCTGCCCCCCCCACCCCTTCACCCCAAATCCCCTCGTCCCCCCGTTCCCAGCTCAGGCTGAATGTCACATGGCACTTTAACCTCCCCTCCCCCCTCCTCCCCCCGCCCCCCCCCGGCCGCCTGGGGTCCCCCCGGGGGTTTTGGGGTTTTGGGGGGGGGGTCCCAGGCGGCCGGGCCCCCCCGGGGAGCCCCCCAGGCACCCGCATGCGCCCGCGCCGGGCCCTGTATATAAGAGACGAGACTGTATATTTGATGCTTCATAAACGGACCGGCCGGCCCCGCCCGACAGCGCTTCTTTGGGGAGGGGGCGACCTATAGGGGCTATAGGGGATTGGGGGACCTATAGGGGCTATAGGGGATGGGGGGGGGACACACATATAGGGGCTATAGGGGATTGGAGGACCTATAGGGGCTATAGTGGATGGGGGGACACACGCCTATAGGGGCTATAGGGGATGGGGGGACACACGCCTATAGGGGCTATAGGGGATGGGGGGGGACACACGCCTCTAGGGGCTATAGGGGATGGGGGGGGACACACGCCTATAGGGGCTATAGGGGATGGGGGGGGACACACGCCTATAGGGGCTATAGGGGATGGGGGAGGACACACCTATAGGGGCTATAGGGGATGGGGTGACACACGCCTATAGGGGCTATAGGGGATGGGGGAGGACACACCTATAGGGGCTATAGGGGATGGGGTGACACACGCCTATAGGGGCTATAGGGGATGGGGGGACACACGCCTATAGGGGCTATAGGGGATGGGGGAGGACACACCTATAGGGGCTAAAGGGGATGGGGGGGGACACACCCATAGGGGCTAAAGGGGATGGGGGGGGGACACACCTATAGGGGATAGGGGTGACAGAGCTATAGAGGATGGGAGTGGAGGTGGACAGGGGGATTGAAAGGGTCTGGGAGGTATAGGGGATGTAACAGGGATCATGGGGCTGTGGGGGTTCTGGGGGGCTATAGGGGTCCTGGGAGCTATAGAGGGTATGGGGGATATAGGGGTATGAGGGCTATAGGGATCATGGGGCTGTGGGTGTTCTGGGGGCTATAGGGGTCTTGGGGTTATAGAGGCTATAGGGTAGATGGGGGCTATGGGGATCATGGGGCTGTGGGGGTCCTGGGGGTTATAGAGGCTATGGGGGCTATAGGGGCTAAGGGAGCTATAGGGACCATGGGGCCGTGGGGGTTCTGGGGGCTATTGGGGTCCTGGGGGTTATAGAGGCTATGGGGGCTATAGGGGCTAAGGGAGCTATAGGGGCTAAGGGGGCTATAGGGACCATGGGGCCGTGGGGGTTCTGGGGGCTATTGGGGTCCTGGGGGTTATAGAGGCTATGGGGGCTATAGGGGCTAAGGGGGCTATAGGGACCATGGAGGCTATGGGGGTTATAGGGGTCATGGGAGCTATAGGGGCTGTGCGACTATAGAGATTCTGGAGGTTGTAGGGGCCATGGGGGCTATAGGGACTGTGTGAGCTATAGGTACTGTGGGAACTATAGGGGTCCTGGGGGCTATAGGGGTCCTGGAAGCTATAGAGGCTATGGGGGCTATGGGAGTCATTGGGACTATAGGGGCCATGGGGACCATGGGGGTTATAGGGGTCCTGGGAGCTATAGGGGTCTTGGGAGTTAGAGAGGCTGTGTGGGCCATAGAGGCCATGGGGGCTATAGGGGTTGTTGAGACCATAGAGACTATGGGCGCCATAGGGACCATGGGGGTTACAGGGGACCTTGGGATCTGTAGGGGTCGTTGGGGCTATAGGGGTCCTGGAAACTGCAGGGGTTATGGGAGCTATGGGAGCTATAGGGGCTAAAGTAGTCCTGGGGGCTATAGAGGCTATGGGGGCCACAGGGACTATGGGGGCTATAGGGGTCATTGGGGCTATGGGGACCATGAGGGTTAAATGGGTCCTGGGGGCTATAGGGCTCCTGGGAACTATAGGGTCTGTGGGAACTAGAGGAGCTATGGGGGCCATAGGAGTCCTGGGGGCTATAGGGGCCATGAGGCCCATAGAGGTCCTGGGGGCTATAGGGGCTGTGAGAGCTGTAGGGGTCTTAGGGGCTATAGAGGTTATGCAAGTTCCAGGGGTCCTGGGGACTATAGGGGCCCTGGGCACTATAGGGGCTCTGGGATCTACAGGGGCTGTGGGGGCTATAGGAGCTATGGGAGTTATAGAGGCTATGGGGGCTATAGGGGTTCTGGGGGCTATAGGGGCAATGGGGGCTATGGGGGTCATTGGGGCTATAAGGGACCATGAGGGTTATAGGGGCCACGGGGGCTATAGAGGCTATGGGGGCTATAGGGATCCTGGGGCCTATAGGGGCCATGAGGGCTACAGACGTCCTGGAGGCCATGGGAGTTATAGGGGTCCTGGGGCTAAAGGGGTCCATGGGAGTCCCAGGAGTCCATATGGGTGGGGGTCTGTAGGGGTCCATAAGGGTCCTTGGGACTCCTGAGGAGTCTCTAGGGTCAGTTGGGGTTTTTAGAGTCCATAAGGGTCCCTGGGGGTCCTGGGGAGTCCATAGGGGTCTACAGGGTCCATGGAGCTCTATAGGATCCATGAAGGTCCCTGAGGGTCCATAGGGGTCTATAGGGGTGCATAGGGGTTTGTAGGGTCCATGGAGCTCTATAGGATCCATGAGGGTCCCTGGGAGTCCATAGGGGTCTAAAGGCTTCATGACGGTCCTTAGGGGTCTATAGGAACCACGAGGGTCTCTGGGGGTCCCGGGAGTCTCGAGGAGGGCGTGGAGGAGCGGAGGGGCGTGACCGACACAGGCGTGGCATAAACAAACCCCGCCCCTCCGCCTGACCACGCCCTCTCCACGGCCACTGGGCGCGCATGCGCCGTGTGTCCCTTTAAACGTGCACAACAAGTCCCGGCCCCACCGCTGACCCAGCCGCGGAGGCGAGTGGTGCCGCGGATCCCTCCGCTGCAAAAGGGGCGGAGCCTGAGGACTATTTCTTCACCCCTCATCCCGCCACACCGTCTCCCGCCACCCGGACCGCGCCGGGGAGGCTCCGGAGCCGTTCTCGCCTCTCGCTGTTCCCGCCCTCGCCGGCGGTCGCGGCGCTGTGGCGGCGCTCGGCGCCCGTTCCTTTCCCGCGGCGGAAGGACACGCGGGACTCATCGTACCGCCTGGGGCGGCGTGCGCGGCCGCGCCTGCGCAGTGCGCGCGTGCGCGCGGGCGGGGGGCGGGCGGCAGGAGGAGG